CTTTTGGTTGACATTTTTTTTCTTTCAGAGTTTTATATATGTCATTCCATTGTCTTCTTGTCTGCATGGTTTCTGCTGACCATTTTGCTTTTCTTCCTTCAGCTTTAATGACACATCACACTCCCTAGTTTTACTTCAATCTTTCTGGCCTCTTCTCTGTTTCTATATAGATCCTTCCTCTCTTACCCAACCCCCCTTCAACATTAGAGTTCCTCAAGCCACTCTCCCTTTTCTCACTGGCCACTCATGTCAATTATATGAGTACAATCGAAGACTCACAAATGCTTACATATAACCAATAGTTCTTTGAAATCCAGATACATGTACATGCATACAAGTAAACTGCTGCCTACTTATATCTCTTCTTGGATATTCTAAAGGAACTAAGAAACAAAAAATGTAGTCTGTCCAAAATGAACTTGTGCTTTCTCTTCAAATCTGGTTGTCTATCAACGCTTTGTGAACAAAACCAACATCCAGCCAGTTGTGCAAGAGCAAGACAAACCAAGAATTCTGCTTGACATCTCCTTCTCTTGTATCCCAATGCCTATCTATTACAAGAATCCAACCTATTTACCTCATAAATATCTCTCAGCTTTGTCCACTCCTTTCTACTTCTACTACCACAATTTTAAGCAAATGAGCAAGAATTCATTGGACATACTTGTGTGTGTGTATTCTCATACAGATGTGTATGTAGACCTAATAGGGATAGCCTTATTAAAGACCTCTTTAAAGTGTTAAAAAGCAAAGATATTACTTTGAGGATTGAGGAGTGCCTGACCCAAGCCATATTATTTTCAATGGTCTCATATAGAACTGAAAGTTGGACAATGAATAAGAAAGACTGAAGAAGTTCATGTATTACAGTGTTGAAGAAGAATACTGGGTATACCATGGACTCCCAGAAGAATGAACAAATCTTTGTTGGAAGAAATACAGTCAGAATGCCCTTCAGAATTAAGAATGCCAAGACTTGGACTAACATAGTATGGACATTTTATCAGGAAGGGCCAGTTCTGGAGAAGGGCATCACGTTTGGTAAACAAGTAGTTGCTGTAAAGTGCTGTCGAATCGGTTCTGACTCATAGTGATCTGGTGTAGGGTTTCCAAGGAGCAGCTGGTGGGCTTGAACTGCCGACATTGTGGTTTTCAGTCTAGAGCTGATCCTGCAGTGCCACACCAGGAATCCAGGTAAAGTCGAGGGTCAACAAAAAAAGGATGATCCTCAAAACAAGATGAAGTAACACAATGGCTGCAACAATAGACTGCAACACAGCAGTAACTGTAAGGGTGGGAAAGGACCAGGCAGAGGTGGACTTAGGGTTGCTCAGAGGCCGGACGTGATCGCACCTACCACCACCACCAACATTCTTATGCTGCAGATAACAAAAACTAGGTTGGGTGGGGTGACAGAACTTGCCATTCAAGTGGCAGACGTGGTAATTTAAAACCAAGTTTGATTCCAAAGTCAGTGGCCACAGGAAAGGAAAATAAATTATAATATTAAGCTGATTATGTGAAAATTCAAGAAACAAGAGAATAACTTTTCTTTTCAGTTTTCTGAATGAAAAGGTAACATTATTTGTGACAGCAATCATGTCTTCATATCATCCTTGCTAGTGAAGGCAGGACACTGAAACTTTACAGATACCCTTATCCCACATCCACCGACATTGCATTTAAAAAACTTGCAATGCTATGGAAAAGCTGCAAAAATCAATAGCCACATATTTTTCACCTAGATTCACCAACTGTTAACATTTTGTCACTTTTGTTTCTCTTGCTCCACACGTGTACACACACACACACACACACACAAATACACACAGACACACTTTTTCCTGGAAATGTCTCAGAATTAGTTGCAGACTCAGACTATATGAACTAGTATGCCTTTCATAAATTTAAAAAATATTTTTCAAAGTAATACCAGATTTATAATGGTCTTAGTCTCCCTGAAACATAACCATGAATCCAGAAATGAGAATGGGGAAATAAAAAGAAAAAAAGACTTCTTAGTATGGTGCGGTGCTGTAGGATAAGCACCTGACCACAAGGTCGATTTTAACTGCAAGATTGGCGGTTCAAATCCATCAGTTGCTCCTTGGAAACGCTATACAGGGTCACTATGAATTGGAACCTTATCAAAGGTACTTACAATAGCAACCTCTCTAGTATTGTTAACCATGTCTAAACCATTTTGACTAGAAGCAGGTCAAAGAAATTTTATTTGCAACACTAAAGTTATTGATTTAGCAAATTTGAATGGCTTCCATATCTGCTATAGAAAACAAAATGGTCTTGGGTGTCACTGTTTAGCAAGCCAATACCACAACTGGCATTTACAGTAATGACCCTAATTTTATCAGAACATATTCTACTTGACACAAAGCCTGCTTTTTTATAGCAAGGTGTTTACGATAAAGTTTTTAAGATTTTTTTTTTTATACACAAAGACGTAAAGTTTCATGTATTTATATGTTCAATAACTTTACTTTTGGAAAAGCTGGATTAGTGAGGTTCTGCTGGATAGAATTTGATAAAAACTGGCATTGTCTATAGGACAGAAAATGTATATTATATTTTATGAATTTCCTTTGAAGGTTTATAGGTGATGACTCTATTAAAATAAAAATCAGCTCATTTGCTAGTCTGTATTGCCAACAACTAAGCAGTAAAACTATTTCAGTCAATATCCAAACAGACGCCTTGAAATTTTTCAGAAAAACTAGAGGGAAAGTGAAAGCTAGCCTGTGAGTACTACTTTAAACACCAGCTTCGGTGACATAAAGGGAGGAGTTCTGCTTTTTTAATTGCTTAAACCATGATCGTTAGACTTATTACGAGTGTCACTGATAGAAAGATAAATGTGGTCAAACACACAATAAAAACTGTCCAAAGGTGCAACTGAGCCACTTTCTAAAATGAGAGTGTAAGGATGGGAAGGCTACAATACCTGCTGTGGGGGAGTTTGCATGGTGAGACTTTTTTGGCAGGTTGAAGATCTGTTCGCCAGGATCCGGGGGAGGAATTGCATCTTGCCCTTGTCGCGCCTCTACAGGATCATACTCCTTCCCATCATAGTTGGCATCATAGAATTTCTTAAACCACTGAATAAAATCCAGGTTGTCCTGGAAACGTCCTTTTACTAGCTTCTCCACTGGAATTACCTGAAACATAAAATCACCAGGTGAATCAGTGACTTTAGGTTTGTTTGTATTTACCACAATTGAAGTGTTACCTAAATTTAACTATATCCCAATTGACCTTATTCATCTCTCCCTTAGGCTCTTCTAGTTCCAATAAAATGCTTCATCATGTTAAAAAAGAAATCAAAATGTTGGATTTGGGTCTCTTGGAATATTTAATACCTATGTGGTGCTGTAGGATAGGCACTCGACTGTGAACCACAAGGTCAGCAGTTCAAACCCACCAGAGGCTCCTCAGAAACTCTATACAGGGATGTTATGAGTTGGAAGTAACTCGATGGCATTTAACAACAACAACATGAACAAAGCAGATAAAAGTAGCGTTACCCTCACCTGTCAAGTGGGACGAAGCCTCCTGATAGTGTGTTTTATCATCGAAACATCTTTCCCAAAAAACCTTAGGCCTAGGATGGTGTGTTGTTTCAAGACTGATGGATGATCCCTATTTCTGGTCTAACTGTGTTGGGATACACTCTTACAAGAATTATGGCAACTAGAGAATGAAATATACTGTAAATGAATGCAAATATATAGCAACCTAACGATTTATGGGAAACAAACTCAGCTTTCCCAGAGCTTATTTACAATGTAAACAGGCATGAAAACACCACCAGCCACATTTCAGGACAAGCAGTGCACAGGTGACATGGGCACATGAGTACCACACACCATGGAGTGGGCAAGAGCAATGGAGACTGCCTGAGGGGTTACAGAGATGCCGTCACGTCAACTTCTGAGACATGAACCTCAGTGTCCTGTGGAGTAATTGTTACTACCTGCAACCTAAGAGTCAACGAACATTTCCATCAGGGGAAGGTATTATAGCAGTGTTTCAAATGATGTTTTTCTTTTTATAAACAAATTGTGATTTGACTTCTAGTTCTAATGTAGCGGGGAAGTCCTGGTGTGGTACTGTGGGTTAACAGTGCTCCTTATAGTGAGATGCTCACTGGAGAGCTGTAGCCTCAATTTCAGATTAAACACAGAGGACTGCTGTCGAAGGGCTTCGAGATCTTGCATGACAATACACATGCATGTCTGTATACCTCTGCCCACACTGCTGACACTGTGCAAAAATTTCTTAATGCATCCTTCCTATAGTCCTGATCTTGTTCCCTCAGACTTTCCATGGTAGGGTCACCTGAAAGTAGCCCTTTGAAGATGAAGATTCACCTCTGATGAAGAAGTGAAAACAGAAGAGTACATTCGTGGTTCACAACTCAGCCTAAAATATTTTTTAATAAGGGAATACAAAAGCTTGTTGATAGATAGACCAAATGTATTGAAAAGCCAGGAGATTATGTTAAAAAATGATGTATTTGTCTTTTCTAAAACTTGATTAAAACAAATTCTACAGCCCGAGTGCAGATAATTTTTGACTTACGCTCATATAGTCTGTAAAAATGTATGTATGTAGCTGTTGTTAAGTGCTGTTGAGTCAGTTCCAACTAAAAGTGATTTTGTATAGGGTTTCTGAGGAGCAGGTGGGTTTGAACCACTGACCTTGTGGTTAGCAGTCCAGAGCTTATCCTGTAGTAAAAGGGTGGGGAACCTTTTTTATGCCAAAATTTATAATATCATTCGTGGGCCAAGCAAAATTATCAACTTAAAGATTAGTCTGCTATATTTGGTTAAAAATTTAATTAACTCACCCCCAATGTGATGGCTGGAACTGCAATTACCTTGGCAGGGCCAGACCACATGATTTCCCAGTTGTCACATGGCCCGTGGACCATATGTTCCCCCACCCCTGCTATAGTGCCACACCAGGACTCCTATGTAGGTAGTACATATCACTAATGATAAATGTTCAAGAAAAAAATGGATGGTTGTAAGTGTGGCTTGTCATAACTTCAAAGTATGTCGTAAGTCGGGTACTGCTTATATAGACACAGAAGGAGCTAGCTGGAAATTGACTACAGCAAAGCACATGATAACAATTGTAAAATAATCTGAAAGCTTATGTTTTGAAATATAAATTATGAGAAAACAAGAAGCCAATATTTTCTTGGCAATATTTTGATAAGAATGCTTTACGGTACTAATTGAATTAAATAAAAACATAGAGTGCTTGCCAACTATTTCTCCTTTCTTTTAACCTCCATATCTCTTTATCCCAGTATTTAAAATTCTTTTATTACCATAGCCTATTTATGGCTACTCTTTATGCAAAGAAAAGTTTTCCATTCAACCCACCCCGACCCCCATTTCTCTCTTTTCACACTCGTTCAAAATTCATTTTATCCCCAACCTCACTTTCTCTAAGACATATATTCTAAATAAGGAACATGGATTTATGTTTATATTTGAATAGCAGTAAACATGCAGAGAGTGAGTGGGCCATTAGCAACAGTTCTTTATTGGGGGAAAAGAACTCTCATCTAACCCACTCACATAACTCCAGGGTAAAATTACATTAATTCAAAAGCAAAAAGAGTAAGGAAAATGCCAGGCACCTTTAGAGAATGTGGGCAGAAGCACTCTGCTGGGAGCTTTCCCATGCTCACCCTCATTTCAATTTCATCACCACAGGGAAGGGGCGATTAGTCCCATTTTACAGATGAGTGAGCTCAACATCGAGAGAACGTAAATAACTTGCTCAAGTCATGGAACTGGGATTCCAACCTCTACTATTCCCACTGAAGCATTTGATTTCTCCAAAGGAACACAAAACACAAAGGACTACAGTGGTAGCTAACAGTCATAAAAATGTCTCATCTGCAATACTAACATATAACAAGGAATAACATTTTAATACTTGTAATTTCTGTTAGAGTTTCTGGTAAAATGACTACAGTTTGGGACAATCCTTCTACATAGAAGCCTCATACAAACAATGGTCCATGTGGCATTTGTGGGAGGCTAGGGTTGATACTTATGCTATGTACACACCCCCACCTACTATGGAGACACTAAGATATATCCGAGTGATCATGTTTACGGATTTTTGTATTTCTGCTGAAAATCAACTGAAGTACAGACCATGTTATTTCATGGAGGTACAAATGAATCCCCTACCTTATCAACATTCATTCGCTTAAACGATGCTTGCAGAAGTTTAAAATTGTGAATATACTCATGCTCCAACTTTGCTTGAAACTTTACTTTCTTCAGACTAATGCAGCCTGGAAAGAGCATGTCCATGAACTGGCAATAGGCTGCCCCTGGAAAGAGACAAGAAAAAGGCAGGTTGAGTGTCACTATACCTGGCTGTGGCCTGCTAGGCAGGAAGAGAACTATGTGGTGAGAACTGTCACCACCGTTCAGGCAGAGCCCTCCTGGCCATGTATGCTCCTCTTGCCAGTTGTCCACCTCCTTGTCCACAGGGATTGGGGCTGGAGGAAGGGCAGTGACTTGGCACAGCACCTGCCACTTCTCCATTCCTAGACCCTCTGTGGTGCTAACACGGGGTTCACCAGAGCATGGCCAGGCTCCATGAACAATGAGCACAACTTCATACTTTGATGCCAAGGAAAACAGGGGAAAAACAACTCTCCTTAGCTTCTATCAAAAAAAAAAAAAAAGGAATGTATTTCATTTGCATCTGGTTGCTACTGCACCAAGTTACCAAAATATAAACTTGAGGAAAATAGTCAAAACTTTTCAACATGAGAGAACTACAAAAGCTCTTATGAACTGTGTAGTTCAAAATATACACAACGTATGCTAAGCTGTTTTACATTCATCTTGTAAACGACTTAGGTGAAACTAAAACTCAGTGATCTGGTAATGAAAACGGTTGTACACTAATTTGATTCCTGTCTAGAGCAATCGGGTATCCTATATTGAGACAAGAGATGAAGACCTGGACACTGGAGTGGACAGAGATTCAGTGTCAAAATGCTTATATATGAGAAACAAGCATGACAGAAATGTTCAGTGAGTCTTCTGAAGAAATAGCCATAGGGAGACAAGTTTTTTGGTAAATCTTTGGGTTTTTTGTTTTTTTTTTCCCAATGAGGAGCTTTCAGAACATGGCAATTTCAACTAGAACAACCTTGCAGGACCATATGTACTGATTCATATATATCCCCTTAACAGTAATGACTAAAGGTATTTAGACAAGAAAAAATGCAAAGGAAGAATGACAATTGAGTGGCAAGAATAAGAATAGGCAGCCACGTCTGTGTTTTCATTTTTTCTTCTTTGCCGACTCCAGATCTTTGCTGCTTTCTATGATAAACCCTCTGGAACATAAAGGACCTCATTCCACCCTTAGCCATCAAAGTTTCAATGAGGATCCTTTCATTCAATTCATGGAACTAGCCTTTAGCTATGAATAAATGTTTCACATCCTTTACTGAGACAGGAATCACAGAGAAGAGAGAATAACACACAGAAGCCTAATGGTTGCTGGAAAAGGAAATGTTGGGAGCAACTCATTCTTTGTAGGTAAAGCAATGAAATACAGGCCATAATAAATATCACTCTGGAATCTTGGCATCTCTCTAATGCCTGACCTTAGATGCCAATATCCTGAACACTATTAAGTTCCTAGTAAAGCAGCAGGAGTCTCTTAAAAACAAGACAAAACAAAAAACAGTGGGAAAGAGAAACATTATAATTTAGGGGTAATTCTTACAGTCATTATCCAAGTATTCAGGTCTTCCTTTTGAAGTGCTACCAGACAGAGCAAATTCCAATTAGCCACCCTAACATTATTTTTATAGCGATGAGTGTCTAACACAACTGTTTCATTATCTGCTCTTCGGAGAGTTATATTTTCACTCTTGTAAAGTTTAGCATAAAATTTACCTACTGAGATCCACATACTTGTAGTATATATACACATACTTACAAACCAGTCAACAAAATCACTTGCTTTTCAAGTTTAAAAAGTAGTACACAGCTTTTAAACAACCAAACAAACAAACTGCTCAATACAGACAGGAGGAAGAGTTGCTGGGAAACCATCTTTAATTTCACCATCCGGTGATAACCCTGGAAACAGCACTGTTAGCACTCTGGTGTCTACCAGTCTAATAATTTTCTGGGGGGTTGGGAGTATGTTCTCTTTTTTGGGGTAATTATATACTTTTTTCTTTAAAATATGGTCATATTGTTAAAATGGGATTATATTGAGTGGCAAGAATAAGAATAGGCAGCCATGTCTGTGTTTTCATTTCTTCCTCTTTGCTGACTTCAGATCTTTGCTGTTTTCTATGATAAACCCTCTGGTACATAAAGGACCTCATTCCATAAGAAATGTTTATTTCTTAACAACAACAACAACAACAACAACAAAATATATATGTATGTATATATATATATATATATATATTTTTAAACCTAACAGACCATGATTCCCTTTTTTGGGCCATTTCATATTCTATACCAACATTTGTCAATGGTTTTTCTTTTTTTTTTTTTATTAGCTTAGCAACTTTTCTAAGCCAAGATCACATAAGTATTCATGTGTATTTTCTTCAGTACTTGCATGGCTTCAAGTTTTACATTCAAATTCTTAATCCATGTGGAGTTTATTTTGGTCTATGACATAAAGTATAGCTCTAATTTTAGTTTCTCCAAATGTTAGTGGAAATCTGTCATTTTTGGCTTCCCAGTAGTTGGACACCTTCCTGTTTAAGGAGATGCTATAGTACCCTGCCTCTCAGCATGGCAGCCGGATGTGGGCAGATGCCCCTTTCTCTACTCCCAGCAGAAAGGATGCAGGCTGGTGATCTAGGCTCTGCCTCTCGGATGTTCTGTTCTGGTGTCAGAGTCATGGGAAGGACTGAAACAGGTAGAGACTATAGGAGTTTAGTCATGGTGAGGCGGTGGGATCTGGAGACCTGTAGTGGAGGCAGCGGCACAGTGGTGCCCTAACTATGCTACTCCAGTGGCAGACGGCGGGGCTCTGTTCTAGGCTCCTTAGCATCCTTTGGTTCCTATCAGCTTCTGAGCTTGGTTCCCTAGTCTGTCCACTGACAGCTACCCAATAAGCTTCTTGTAAATTCCTCTCCTGCTTAAACTTACTAGGGTTGATTCCTGTTACTTTCCATCAAAGATGCTGAGCAAGTTAGCTTGGTGCTTAACACTTCATTTAATAATCTATACTTTCCCCACAGATTAGAAGCACTAAATTTTACCATATGTTACTTTTAAAATATATATATATATATATGAATTTAGGTCTTTTCCTAGACTTTGAATTCTGGATTTTAAACTCTGTTCCTGTTATAGTTCCATACGCATAGCTATTCAAATTCTGTAATATAGGCTACTCTCTACAAAACAACTGTCCTTCTATTCTCAAAGCTTTCTCATGCATTTATTGTCTCTGTTACATATCTGACTTGATTAAATACATGGCATATAGAAAACAAGTTTTAAAATATGTCACTTATTATCTGTCTAGCCAGTTAATAACAGAACTTTATTGAGATATAATTTACACACCAGGAAATTCAACCTTTTAAAGTGTAGCATATCTACGTGTTTTTGAATGTATTGACAGAGTTGCTTGCTCATCTACCACCACTAACTAATTCTAAAACATTTCATCACCTAAAAAAGAAAAAACCCCATGCCCATGAGTGATCACTCTTTTTTCTTCCTCCTCTCCTCAACCCCTAGCAATCACCAATCGATTTTCTGTCTCTGGAGATCTGTCAATTCTGAGTATTTCATGTAAATGAAATCAGACAACATGTGGCACTAAATGTTTGGCTTCTTTCACTTAGAATGTTTTCAGATTTCATCCACATTGTAGCATGTACCAGATTGTCAGTCTTTTTAATGGTGATATACTATTGCCCTGTCTGAATGTACTACTTATCCACACATCAGTTGATGGACAAATACTGTAAGATTCCAGTTACATAAAACATTGAGGATAGACTCTGCATAGAGAGAAAAGGCCAGAGAAAAAAGGAGAAATGGACAGTCATCACTAAAGGGGACTGAGTTTCTGTTTTGCTGTTGTTGTTAAGTGCTGCCAAGACGGTTCTGACTCAGAGTGACCCTGTATAGGGTTTCCAAGGAACAGCTGGTGAGCTTGAACTGCTGAACTTGTAGTTGAAACTGACTTTGCAGTCCAGCGCATTAATCCACAGCACCACACCAGAACACTGTTTCTGTTTAGGGAGATGAAAAGCATTTGGAAATGGACAGTTGTGATGGTTTCCACAAAATGGTAATTGTAATTAATGCCACTAAACTGTACATTTAAAAATGGTTAAATGGCAAAAATTTAGTTACTTTTTTTTACCATAATAAATTAAATAAATATACTGTGCAACTTTATTTTTTCTTAGAGGTCTATCAACTTGAACATAAAAATAAAAAAAGATTTGATTAGAATCCTTACTGTATGATTTACAATCTATTATGGTGTGGGTTTTCCACACTTTCCCTACAGATTTCAGAACCTCACGAGCATCAAATAAACTGAATGAATGATCTTTAACGAGCAATGTGAAACGGGGATATTATATCTTCATTTTCAGAAAAGGTCATATTGAATGAGCACTTAAGGTATCGTATCATATGTTCTATGTTTTAGAGTCAAAGGAGTGCTGGAGAATTTTCAAGAAATACTGACTTTCAGAGCTATGTTGAAGATTTGTATGTCCATTTGAGTATTTTCAACTTCTGGTTCCCAAATCTTTCGAGAGATATGTCTCTGAGACATCATGAAAAAAATACCTTGAAATTAACTGCTACCACCCAGAAAATCTTACAGGGTTCTTTTGGGGACAGTAAACTATACCAAAGTATAACTCAAAACAACACAGCAATATTTTGGTTCCATCAAAACCAAGCCTTGATTTGTGCTCCAGATAACAGCTCATTGATGTCACTCCTTAAAACTATCCTCAGTCTCTCTTAGACTGTCTGGATTATTCCTAAAGTGTGACAATACGCTCTCCAATTAGTTGACTCAAAAAACACAAAACAAAACAAAAACCTTCCTTGATGTCACATCATCCTTGCATTGTTGAACACTTCTTCACAGCAACACTGCTTTACAAAGTTGACCCAGTTTCCACTGTTGCCCACTCAAATCACTTTAACTGTCTTCCCACTGAAGCTTCTCGTCAAGGTCACCAACAGTCTCCCTGTTACTGATATTAACAGTCACTATTCTTTTTTAATCTTAACCAACCTCTTAATAGTATTTGGGGTCTTGCTGACTCCCTGAATTCTTGTATTTTCTTCCTTA